ATAATATCCGTAATAATGTTATTATATTATTTTTCCATGCACTGGTACTGACCATGAGATCCGTTCCTGAACAACTGGAGCTTTCTTGTGAAGAGCACGCTGTCGCTGGATAGCAACCAGACACACGAGGAGGCCACATAAGGCACCATCAAACTTTCCAGCAGCGCCGTTGCCGAACCGTAGACTTGCATCGTTTTGTGTAGTAGTACGGTGCATACGAAGAGAAATCGGGGCCATATTGATGGGGGTAGGAGGATATTAGATTTTGAAATATGCGGTAATTGGTCAGAAATCAAATTAGTTGATGGTTGGTCAACATTAAAAACGCGTGCCGGACGCGTGCGTTTGGTCCTTTTTCCATGCGATTTTTTTGTATTGCCATCGAGCCAATTTCATCACAAAGTCTGCAAAACGCATGCGTCCACTCCGGATGAGAACAGGCCTAAGGGCCTGGTTCGCTCGTCGGGTCAGGTTATCTAGGCATCCACGCAAGGAGCTGATTGGCTAGTCCTACAGTAAACTTTATGTAGAAATAAACAGTCATACCTTCATGACACGGGGGTTGTGCATATCAAATATTACCAATCTGATCATAAATTGTGGTGCTGACCGCTCAACTGGTGAAGCCGGTTGAGTTTTATTGGGGGCCTTTGGTATAACTTGGATTTGCACCCTAGTGGTTTACCTTGCCGCTACGGCGTGGAGTATATATTTTGGAATCACTGATGTACGACATCAACTCTTGGCTGAGCTCCTCTAGAGGTAGTTGCCAAAATTCTTTTAGGAGATCGAACAATCCGTACTGTTATTTTTTTTACCTTTGGTGTACTCCAATAGCGTGCTCATGTGAGGCATGGTGCTGATAAGAGCCTCCACAAGGTCGTTCACCAAGCGGTAGTCACAGGTTTGTCTGTAATCGCCATCAGTCGTGCCTGGTTTGCAGCACCGGGGTGGCCCAGCGACTCGTGGGTTCTCATAAATCCACCCGACATTGTGATACCTTGGATATTTTGATTAAAAAATTACTAATATAATCATTCATCTGATTGGCTGAGTTGTCCGTATATGGCGATCATCCGTATCAACATAAAGTTTACTGTGCAATGACTTGATTCCGTATGCCGCATACGAAATCAAATCATTGTACCGTATCCTTTTTGTATACAGTATACTGTTTGCACTAGGATTGGAGATGCTCTAACAGCGGGGGAGACACAACACACTAATGAGCCCAAGATTCTAACTTGTGGAGCTCGATATTAATTTCGGAAACCCGGTCGGACCCACCACTACGGGAGCTGGGCTCCTGCTAGCAGCACGCAGGCAGCTACGACTGATACCCAGCCACCGTAAAAATGGCAATCAGTACGACCGAAATTGGCAAGATAATCATCAAGACGTTAGACAACTTCTATTTTAGATTGTAGGGGTGTGCGTGTCGGTCGGTCAGACAGTCACAAGGAGACGGCAAAGTAATGTTCTGTCTTGCATCTCAAAGCTGCCGCGAATAGACAGTATCCTACACTCTGCCTGGCGGGGAGTGCAGAATGACCGCAGACCATCTCGAAAGGACTCGTACTATTTTATCAGAGAATTCAGCGGTTGAAAATGCGCACCGCGATTAGAAAATGTAGGGAGTAACTAAGGAGCGCCCAAGTTGGAGCAACCTAACATA